CATGATGCTATTTGAGTCTTCATGCCAGTATTAAGTGGCTCTCAAATGCTCTTATTTTGAAGCCCAAAGGAGTCTTATTTGTTGCCAACTTTTAGTCTGCAAACTTTGATTCCATCCATTCAAGATGTTCTTTAGCTTGAGTTGACTAGTGCCAGCATGTCATGACTTATTAGCATAGTCATGTGGCTAATGCAAGGAAGTGGTTGCTTAATTATGAAACCCAACCTCTGTCCCTGGGAGATGATGATTTTTCTGTTTTGTTTTTAAAATACGAAAACAAAAATCAGTGGCCTTCAGCTTTTTATTTTAATATAAAATGCACCAGGGCGAAAAGTTCCTTTAATAGTTGCCATTATTTGTAGTTAAATTTATGGATTCAGATCTGGCTAAACTTTTTCTTCATTTAATCAAGGTATCAAAACGAAGTTGTGTTTTGTGTATTTTTTCCATCCTTGGTATGAAATGGGAAAATACAGGGAAGTTTATGATTTTTGCTAGTTCTGTTTAAGATCACTGTTGAATTTGTACTGTTCTGTCATGGAGCTGGACAGTTGGATCCTATGCAGTAGTGGGCATGGGCACGGCAGCATTCCTTCCCTGTGATACAGTTTTAGAGCTCACAAAAGCTGCTTCCAGTTTCTCCTTTTAAGCATACAAACGCATTATGATTTGGCAATCTCCTATTTCTGGTGAGCATTTGACACTACATAGAACTGTTTTAATGACCATGACTTCAACTTGAGATGATGAGAGACATTCCCTTATGGGTATTACATTTAGAAAAATCAATCCTAGTTTTCAACTTCTGTTGGTTATTTAAACATGACTAGAGTATTCAGAACCCTCTAGTGTCTGTCAGAGCCAGAGTAAACAGCTGCTTTGTTCCTCCCACTAAAAGAAACAGTTGAGGTCCCAGTGAGTGTGGCTGTCTAACACAGTGCTAGCTCTATAAAATAATTCCATTAGGTACAGTATCCAAAACAGAACAGATTTACTTTCTGAGCCCAGTGTAGGCAGATGAAAGTAAATGGCATCCAGGTCTGTAATTAACTCCTCCGAAAAGCAATGAAATCTTTTAAAAATGCTTTCTATTGATGGCAGCTAGGTGTAAGGATGACATAAAACCTTAGTGATAGCGGAAATATTTTTCTCAATCTATTATTTTAATTGGTGAGTGGAAGCGAAAAGCAATGAAATCTTTTAAAAATGCTTTCCATTGATGGCAGCTAGGTGTAAGGATGACATAAAACCTTAGTGATAGTGGAAGTATTTTTCTCAATCTATTATTCTAATTGGTGAGTGGAAGCCCATCTCAACTTCTGGTTCTTCCTTTCTTTATTGTCTTGTATGTGAGGAGCCCCTACAGCCACACTGTCCCTTCCCCTGTTCAGTATCTTGTGGTACTGGCTCCCTTGAGCTCAAGGGCACAAACCAGGGGGGTCTAGATGAGATGAGATACAGAAGTAAGCTCTTGTGCCTGCATAGAATCAGGCTCTCCCACTCAGCAAAACAGTGTCCTGTGGCTTTTGTGTTGTCTGGAGACCTTTACTTAATATAAAGGTTAAAGTCTCAGGACTGTTGACTTTCTTCTGTATGATGATTCTCCTGCTGTAAGCAAAGGCCTTTTTTTCTCTTGCTGATGTGTTTACCCATGTCCAAGTCTGGACTGAAGGAGGCCTTTCAGCTGTCTGGGAAGCTCAGGATGTAAATGTCAAGAAAGAAGTGTCTTGCCAGCTCCCTTTCCTTTTAGTTTATCTTTTTATTCTAAACACTATAATGCTGTTCTGTACTTGCCATAAAGAGAGGTAGTATTTTCATTATACTCAATTATAATAATAGCCTTCCAAAGTTCTAAATCTCAAGCAATTTATAAGAGACTTTTGGATTATTGCCCTTTTAGGACCAACAATTCATGGAACCCAAGTTAGAAAACCAACATATCACAAGGCAAATAGAAGTGTTGTAGTAGATGCTAACATTTATGAATTTACTGGGTCCAAGAAGTCACCCTGCATTCACCCATTAAATTGTTACAACTTTCTAACAAAGAAGGCATAATTAGCTCCATACTTTCAGATGAGAAGATAAATCACACACGTACCAATTATATTCGGATTTCTAGAACCTCTTTAAAAGCTGCACACTAAAAAGATGAGTGTATGGTTCTTGTTGGGCAGACAGTGACAACTGTGTCTCTCCACAGGCAGCTCCCCCCCACCCCCACCCCATTAGAACTGGACATTGGAGGAAATTGAGACCACCAGGTATTTCAGCAAGAGAAATTACATATTTGAGGAGGCTTTGTAGAACCGCAACTGGAACATTTATCTTGAGTAGCGAGGAAACTGGCACCCTCAGGGTCTAGGCAAACAATGCTATGGATAGTGGCAGAGAGGGGATGTGAATGCAGTTTTCCCACAGACACCATGGTGGTGGCACCTGTTCCTACAGAGAGAGGCTATGGCTTTACCTGTTGACCTGATGGCCCGTGAAAGTGATAACTGGCATTCACTAACACTTAACGAGCAAAAGTGTTTTCCTGGATATTTTGTTTAATTCTCAGAACTGGTCAGTATGTACTTTGTAGATACAAGAACCAAGTAAGCCTCAGAGAGATTTTGTAACTTGCTCAGGAGGCTTAGCCAGAATTTTGACCTAAGCTGTCATTTCTGCAGCCCCCCACCTTACCCCATACTTTGCATGGCAGTGAGGCAAGGAGATCTCTGTCTGAGGTACTGTCACTGTGTCAAAATGTACAACTTAATTACTAAGCATCATTACCCCATAAACATGAAGGGACACATACACCTTGTGTGGGAAAGTAGTTTTTCACTGAAGCAAGGAAGTTACTTTTCTTACAGTTCTGATAATTTCTCACAGCTCATGACTATTTCATATTAAGAACCACTTACAGGAGCTGAGGAGCCAGCTCAATGAGTAAAGAGCCCTTCCTATGTAAGTGTAAGGGCCTGAGTTCAAATCCCTAGTACCTACATAAAGATTGGGCATGCTCCTGTGTTCCTTAACCCCACAGCTGGGAGGCAGGGGCAGTAGCCAGCCAGTCTAGCCAATATGGCAAGCTTCGGGTTCATTAAGAGTCTGTGTCAAGAGATGGGCAAAGGGATAGAGGAAGATGGCCAGCATCCTACTCTGGCCTCACGAGTGTACATCATACACACAAATGAGCCACTTACAGGATAAAGGCTAGGACATTAAGAATGGGCAGATCCAGAGGTTAAATGTGAAACCAGTGCAGTAGGGAGCTACACCGAGCTGCAGTCTGGCCAGGAATCAGAGCAGCACTGAGATGCCAGTCAATCCGAGAAGGGTTTGGGTGGAAGGTATTTAAATAAAATGTGACCCTAACTTTGACTCAGGCTAATTGACATGGTGACCACCCTTTCTTCACCTAGAGAAAGTGGGGAATTGAGGGTAGAGTTGACGTCCAGCAGCCAGCAAGCACACTGTGGCTGTGCGAACAGAGGGAACAGAGCCTGGTCTGTTTGGAGAGGGTGCTAGCTATTGTACCATATTAACTATCTGGTCAAGGAAAAGGTTTCTGTCAACTGTTAAGAAAACAAGTTGAAACCTGGTTGTTGCCCTAAAGTAAACCACAATGTAGTCAAGACTAACTGTTACAGAAGACTTGAAGAACCATTTTCCAAAGTGACAGGTTCAGTTGAAGGAGTGTGGTGGGAAATGGATTCACTTCTTTGCCATTGTTGCTATCGAAGTGAAACTTCAGTTGAGTCAAATATTCTCTGCTTAGATGTTGTTTGACTCCAATAGAGTGAACACTGTGCTGTTACACCTTGGTCTAGAGTATTTCTGCTATTCCCCAAATTCCTTCATATGCCTTCTAGTTACTTCCTACCCACTGTTCTGACTGCTGTCACCACACATGAGTCCTGCCTGCATCATCTATTGCTGTAAGAAATTTAAGTTCCCATCTGGTTTGTCATGGGTATTGTCAAAGTATATTACATGCCCGAATGAAACTGTCACAACAAAATCCATTGTTTTATACAACTAATAAAAACCACTTTTAGTTTTGTTCATTGAAAATGGTAACAACATTCAGAGATAGCACCAACAGTGCTGTTCTTTTGGGAAAAACATTAAGCTCCCTGGGCCAGCGTGTGCAGGGTTCAGTTGAGTGGTATCCGTTGTCCTTTACGGTCTTACAGTGCACCTGCTGTCTAACCCCAAAGGCCCCACTCTTAGTACATTGCTCCTCTGCCACATACAGTATACAGGAGGGCCCACACCATGGGCCCCAGCCTGCTTTTAATGCCCCTTCCCCATGGTGTTCTATCCACTCCATCTACAGAACCTGCTCTTCCCCACCTCCTCTGCCTTATCCCCATAGGGTTGTTTGGGATCTTGTGCATGCTTGTTTCCCTGATTATGTTGGGAACATTTTGAAGAACACCAGGGGCCATGTTTACATGTCTTCATCACCAGCATCTGGTGTGTGACTTCGAAAACAACCCCATTAAATACTATGCAGAATGGTGTTTCGGGTCAGGGTCAAAGTTGTTAGGTTTATTTCTTCAAGTTTGTTTCTAAGGTTAATGGTCATTTTAAGGTAAAGACGAACACATTTCTATTGCCTTAGCTGACATGAATGTGTTACTACACAGTGTCAGTGTAACAAATCCTGTGGCTGAAGGGCTAGCCTATACCCTTCTATCCTTCTCAGATCCAGCTCACTGTATACATCCATGTAGCTCTAGAATGCAAATTACCACTTCTGGGAATGAAGAGCATTTCTTTCTAAAGGTCTTTGTGGTAATTAGCAAACAGGAAAAAAAAGCTAAAAATGGCTGGTAAATATTGACCTGAGTACCCAGAAACACTGGTATTTTTAGCCCTTGTTTGTTCATGGTGGTTCACTCTGTCCTGATGCTTCATGCTTATGGTTCTGCCTGGCAGAGTGAATCAGCATTACCACCCCCATGACTGTTGCTAAAGCAAATGTTTCATTTTCTGAATCCTAGGTAAGAACCTCGATGCTGTCCATGACATCACCGTGGCATATCCTTACAACATTCCTCAAACTGAGAAGCACCTCCTCCGTGGAGACTTTCCCAGGGAGATCCACTTCCATGTCCACAGGTATCCAATTGACACCCTTCCCACATCCAAGGAGGACCTTCAGCTCTGGTGCCACAAGAGGTGGGAAGAAAAGGAAGAGAGGCTGCGGTCTTTCTACCAAGGAGAAAAAACCTTCCACTTTACTGGGCAGAGCATGGTTCCACCTTGCAAGTCTGAGCTCAGAGTCCTGGTGGTCAAGCTGCTGTCCATAGTGTACTGGACCCTGTTCTGCTCTGCAATGTGCCTGCTCATATATTGGTACAGCCCTGTTTGGTGGTATTTCATAATCAGCATTGTGTTTTTCGTGCTGCAGGAGAGAATATTTGGTGGACTGGAATTCATTGAACTTGCATGTTACCGTTTTTTCCACAAGCACCCACATTTAAATTCAAAGAAAAACAAGTAAGATGGTTGCATTCACCATGTGAAACCCTAGGAAATGTGACATTATGGAAATGTCACAGCCTTTGTAAGCCGAGATGAGTTTTGCATGACTATGTCAAAATGTTTCTTACTAGCATCATTCTTTGTTAAACATACTTTGCACTTAATTTTGTGGGGAAAATATTGCTACTGTTTCTTTAAAATCTCTGAATGTAATTCCAATGCTGCATATGTAGCAGGGGTGGATCCCTGTGAATAACTTGGGTCAGAATATTAGAAACAATCAGCAAGCTGTTGAGACAAGATGCAAGCTTTTCTGAAAGAGTCAGCTCGCTTCAGACAGGCTGCCAGCCCAAAGGCAGGCCTAGGACATGAACACAGGCCCCAGCACACGAGGCAGGTAGTAGCCCCCCTTCCCCGCCCGAGGCAGTGAGGCACTGACCATCCTTTTATCCTGTTACATCAGTCAAAACCCAAACCATCACCATGTCACAGGGAGCCAGCCCTTCGTCTCTCAAAGTCTCATAGTTGAAGAGCCTTCAGGAGACCCCCTTTCCTCACCTGGCAATCACACCCACACTCTGTCAGAGAGCACTCAGGCTCTCCATTTGGGTTTTAAAGGCAGAAACTGATTCCACCTGCTCTTCACCACACTCAGTCTCCATCTCCTGCTTCATCTTTAGTGTGAACTGATACATGGAAGATGTGTTAGAAGAACATTCTGGCATTTCAGACAGAAACTGTCTTATGAAATATTTCTTTAGAACTTATACACACTGGAAGGTATGTGCCTGTGCTTGCAGGGTGTCTACCTTTTGCCATTAAGAGCTATAACAAAAATTCCCACAGACAGGATGGTATATCCAAAGCCCCCAAGCCTTGATCAACTTTACTCTTAAAACCAAAAATGCTAACCCAGAATGAGCCCCTTCAATGACAGCAAGGACTCCTCTCTGATTCTCAACTATAACATTTAAACCCATATTGACCAACTCTTTGCCAAATGGTCCTATCATCTGGAAGCCATGAAACCCCAGCAGACAAACAGCAATGGTGTCCTGGGTAAGAAGCATGTGGCCATTGTTTCCACTGACTGCATGGTCCTGTCTTTGCCATGTGATTGGGGCAGAGATGGGGACAGAGGCACATAAAATTGTGTAGCTGTTAGTAAACCTGTCACCCTTCCCCACCGCCTGCTTGGCAGTTTCAGCAGCTATCACTTCCCCTGTACCTTTCTGCTCAGCTTACCAGCACATTTTCTGAGAAAGCCCTGGTGGGAACAGAACACCCTTAGTGTATCTTGTTTAGTTTGGTTTTTTGGACTTTGTATATTAAAATGTGGGAGTGTTAAGTGGTGCCTATAGTGAATGAAACGCACCAGCCCGTATTTAATGCTCTGTCAAAGCTCATTTTAATCCTGCCAGGAGCTTACTAATTAGTTACTGTGCACATCTGTTCTTAGCACAGCTGTTTGACTTTACAGTTTTTAAGGTTAAAAACACACAGAAAAAGAATAACTTTTTTTTCTTTCCCTTATTGAGAAAGACTTCTAATTTCAAGTTTTTTTCTACAACTTCCATGGATCACATTTAAACATGGAAATAACTAGCAATCCAAATTACGTTTGTTCTCTGAGTAAAATAGAAAAGCTGTTATGTCCACAGTACCTAGAAGCAGCCAGCAGCGATGTTCATCTCATCGTGTACCCTCAAACTCTTTACCTCGTGTTCCCCCTTAAACAGAAAGATCTCCCTCCCTTTGATCATAGAAAATATACCTTAATCTTATTTTATCTACCCCAAATTCATAATTCTAACTATAACACTAAAACTAGAGAAATTGCTTAAATTTCTCCAAAAGGAAAAAGAAAATGCCCTTTTAAATAAAAGTTTTAAAATTATAATTATTTGTTCTTACCTACATATTTAGCTGTGTTAAAACCTTTTATTTAGCCGGGCGTTGGTGACGCTCGCCTTTAATCCCAACACTCGGGAGGCAGAGGCAGGCGGATCTCTGTGAGTTTGAGGCCAGCCTGGTCTCCAGAGCAAGTGCCAGGATGGGCTCCAACGCTACACAGAGAAACCCTGTCTCGAAGTCCCCCCCCAAAAAAACCTTTTATTTAACACACACATATATATATATATATATATATATATATATATATATATATAATTATACATATATAATTATGTATGTATGTATATATGTATGTTTGTATAATGATTTTGAGCTTATAACTGCTTTAAATCAATCCTTGATGGTTGTCAGCCTTAGGAATGCCACTGCCTCTCCTTCTACCCTTCAACCAGAGCTCCTAGCAGCTGGCAGCCCTGCTACAGCAAAACTGCTCCCTGGGACTGAGCCCTAAGGGACTGAAATGCTCACAGCACTATAGTTGGCTAGTTGACCCCATTCTGAGAGATTTTAAGTAGGGTAGTTTTGGTTTATTTATAATGTAAACCATTTCACTTTAAAATATGAACCAATAAAGAGGGGAACTGGCTAGGTGACAAGTTCTCACACTAGGTATCTTTGAAACAAGCCTGAGGAATCCTGAACTTTAATCAGGCAACATGGGGGAAGGCTGAAACGAAATGAATACATATCTGAAAGAACTCACTTCAGATTCAGTAAAATCCTGCCTCTTTGTACACGAGAAAGTATACTCCACATGCAGACCATATATATTGGTAGCCAAGCCCGAGTTCTGCAGACAACAGATTCCCATTTCACCAGCTCTCAAGCTCTGGCCCAACAGAGATGCTCTGGCACAGTCACAGTAAAGACTAATGGAGGGATCCCGTTGGTGTTAACTTGTTTACATTTCTTTATATAAAATAATGTGCTTTCAGTGCCTTAGTTACGGGTCCCTTTCTTTTTCCTGTTCCAAGAATTCTATAACGTGTTCTTAAATAAAGTCTCTCCTTGTCACTCACTAGGAGGAAAAATGGTGTCTAAACACTGGTCACTGGTGGACAGATACAAAACACTATGTTGCAACTTGAAGAGAGCTGGGTGCTGAGCTAGTGGCTGCCTTAGGGTCTTACACTGTAGAGGATGAAAATGCCTTGGCCACACAATGAACTTCAGATAGATATGGCTCTAAAGGTGTTTTGTACCTACCTTAAATTTCTATTTCAGTGTCTTGGTTTTGGTAACTCGTTTTTAAAAGATCATTTTGTGGGAACACCAAGTTTAAAAAATAACTCACAGAATAGCCTTAGCTTTCAGTGTCCACTGGAATGTTTTCGAGTTGTTATCTGTAATATGCATCCAGAATAAAGTGGAGTGAATTACATTGTTCAAAAGCTGTCGTGATTCTGTTTTTACAGGAATGACAGAAACTAAAGGTCACGGTGCTGTTGTTTCCCATATTGTCATGGACTTAACCTGTGTCACTGTGTTAAGGAGGAACTGACAATTAGGCCTCCCATGGGTGTTAAAAAGTGGCCTAATTTAGAACAGAATGCATTATTCCCTAATGGAGAGTCAGGGGAATACAGTTACACTCTTGCCCCAGTGTCAACAGAACCTGTTTTCCTCAGGACAACTATTCATTCCACAAGTGTGGGACACAAGCACTTAAAGGAAAAGAACATGAGGACTCTATGCCCCTCCCTCACTTCACTGTCTGGGAGTAGAACTCTGAAAGCAAGTTTCAGACCAAAATGTGATAGATGTACAGAGAGCATCATTAGCTAAAAGCACACAGCATCAGGGGAACCTATTGTAAGCTCCAGTGCCTGTTCCATCTTTGGCTCTCCAATGAGCACTGTGTGCAACCCATGATCTTCCCTGGGGAAAGGCACACCAACCAAAAGAGGGTCGACCTGGCCCTAAGACTGTTGGTCTCAAGGAGTGGGACTCAAGGAGAGCATGGACTGCAGCCCCTACTCATACTCAGCTTCACTCGTTTTACTGAAAATGGATTTCTGGTGTAGGAACCTCAGATGCTAACCAGGGACATAGAAACTGGCTCTACAGGGCATTCTAAATACCAAATGCATAGTTACTATGGAGACCATTTGTATTTTTCCCGCTGGACTGCACATAGGATCTACATGGCAACAGGACATATGCATCCTCTAGGCTTAAGTTTGGTAGGAAAGAATAAGAGAAGCTGCCTTCTCATTGCCGAAACAACACTAAATCCAACTTCAGGACTCATTCTGGAATCTATCATCAAGTGGGTGTCACATCCCCAAGTTACTAGACACCCTCTAAATCTGGGAATAGAACACATTCTCCTGGATTACAAGGACTGGGGCTGGAGGGAGATTCATTTTATGACAAAATCAGAATTTTATTGAGAATAGCATATTTGTGATGGGATAGCCAAGTGACCACAAATGTCTGCCCTGCCTCTTAAACTTCTCAAATCTTCTAGAGTAGGTGGGCATGCATAGCTCTCAGACCCAGCAGAGGGAGAGACACTGAAGTTTGACAGCATTTTATCAGCAGTGGATGTTTGGGAAGTCAGGAGAGCTGTATTTGGAGAGTCTCACATACACCTGGGTTGGGCATGGTGGCTCATGCTTGTATTCCCAGCACTTGGGAGACCCAAGCAGGAGGATCACAAGGTTAAGACTAGTTAGAGCTACATAATGAGTTCAGAGTCAGCTTGCGCTACATAGCAAGGCACTGTCTCAAAAGAGAGTGGGGTTCTGGGGAGAGATACAATGGCTCAGTTAGTGAAGTGCTTGATTTGCAAGCACAAGTACCTGAATTCAGTCCCTAGAACCCACATAAAAAAAAAAAAAAGCCAGGTATGGAACACCCACTTGTAACCCTAGTGCTGGGGAGGCTGAGACTGGAGGTCTCTGGGGTTTGCTAGCCAGACAGCCTACCCTACTGAATGAGCCAGTGAGAGACCAGATCCATCTCAAGAAAAGGTGGATGGTATCCAAGGAGCTATACTTTTGACTTCCACAAGCATACTTGCATGCACATGCACACATAAACACACACACACAGAGGGGGGGGGGGATTAAATAATGAGTCCACATGAACAGTTCTACCATTATCTCCCAGAGGACCATCCAGATTCAAGCATCACAGCCCTGAGCAGTTTCCTTCCTCCGATGAGAAGTTTGCTGAGCTGGAAATACTGCAGCATCAATGACCCCCTCTGCTGCCTGCCTCTTTCTCCTGGCCCTGCAGACTCAGAATCTTGCAGAATTGTTCATTCCTGCCTCTCCAGCCTGGACATGCAAGCTTTCAATACAACTATCTTTCAGAATAGCCTTGCCTGTGTTTATCACTCCACATCTGTATCACACACTACCTGAGCAAGCCTGGCCAGGTCCTTCCCACATTGGTCTCAACTCACAGGACCCACTGACCTCACCACAACACAATTTTCATTATGGAAGTCGTCTTCTCAGTCCCCAGTGCATCTTAATAGCTATTGCATAAACCCATGCTCCTACACCTGGAACCACCCACGCACCCATGCCATTCTCAGGCTCTTTCTACCCTGTGAAGCCTTCCAATCAGTATGGGTGCTCAGAGCCTCACTGAATCCCCAGATCTCATCACTTCCTCTTGCCTTTCCTAGTACCTAGGAAATTGCTTCCCTAACCCCAAGACTTAGCAAATCTCAACTTAGTCCCAGAAATCTCTCCAATCAATCTATCTGGGAACACTCCCCCCTCTTTTCATGGACAATCTTGGCCTGCACCACTGTCATCACTGTATCACACACTATCTTAGGTCACAGTTACTTTTCAGTTCTAACCTCCCCCCACCCCAATCGCATTACAAGTTTCTGGAAAGCTAAGATAAGATAAGCCTCATATTTTTCTTACTGCAAACCATTGAGCCAGACATGCTCATTTGCACAATATGTTCTTCATGGTAATGTTTTTGGAAGTCATTCACAAAGCTTCTGGACCAATCAGGCTGAGTTTAGGGGCATATGGGTCCAAAATGAAAAAGAACACTTGAGGCTTGGAAGCTCATTGATTTCTGTCAGGGTTTTAGTTAGAAAGCTGGACATGGTAGTACACGCCATTAATCCCAGCACTTGGGAGGCAGAGGCAGACAGAGTTAATTTGAGGCCAGCCTGGTCTACATAGTGATTTCCAGGACAGCCAGAGCTACATAGTGACACCCTGTTTCAAAAAACCAAATATATTTTTTCTAACAAATACACACACACACACACATATATATACATATATATATATATATATATATATATGCATACATATGCATGGTCTAACAAATACATATATACATATATTCTAACAAATAAATATACATATAGTCTAACAAATATATATATACATATATATATATATATATTCTAACAAATACACATACACACTTGTTTTATATGTATGTGTTAAAAAATCATTTTTGATTGACAGTATATGTTACCAAAATATATTAGGATCTGAATTATTAAAAGTAGAAAAGCCGGTTCAAAATGTATGCGTGTGAGAAATAATTCTAGTTTATCTCACCATCTTCACTGTTACCCCTGAAGGAAAATTCACCACTATCTAATTAATATCTGCACTGACTCCAGTTCTATAGTCTTCCTATAGGAATAGAAACCTATTCCTCAGTTGCATCGCCCCAAACATCATGAGATGTCACACACTGTGACTTCACTGTGACTCTGAGAATGTAAAACCTAAATCTCTGGGGATTGATGAGATCGTCTCAGGTTCCTGTAATTATATTCCCAAGTTCTGTGCAGGAGCCCAAAGCTGAGAGTTATCTCTCAGATACCACATTAAGTAAAACAAGAAAGGAGATGGACACATACAGCTGTGCTACCCTTTATCCAAGAGGACCATCCAGATACAGTAAGGGACTAAGCTGAGTGAACATGTGTTCTTCGTCCCCCAGAGCCAGAGGCAAGA